TTTTTCTCTCCTCTCCTCCCTTTTTGTCTAGAGCACCCAGTGCCAGCTGAGGAGGGGGGCCAGGCAGTATTGAACTGTTTCCTCCCATGGCATCCCCTTCTGTGGGGAAGACCAGAATAACCCTACTCCTGGGCCCTGGTGTGCCAGGAACTAAAAAGGTCTCTCTGACATCACTTTTTTTCCTGAAACACAAACAGAAACATACGTAGCAGCTTAGCACTTCCCACTTTTTAAACCTCTTGCATGCTTCCCTGATTTCCACGTAGTACGCTTAGTCCCTTATTTAGCCAATACAGTATCATCATGAATGTGCATTATTTACCAACAGCTATTACACCCACTTAACTATCACTATCACTTCTTAATTTGTATGTGCAGATGAATGAAAGTGACTTCAAAGTCTTGGTAGTGACAGACGATTCATCTGTGGTCTTAAATCAGCTGCATGTGGATGAACAGGGAACGTATCGCTGCTCTCTGCAGGGCCGAAATGGAGGAACCATTTCTACCGAGTCACTTTCCTACTCACTGGTAGCGTACAACTCTTAAATACGTCACCACAAACAAAATTGTCAGATAATATCACGTCTGAATGGTCAATAAGGTGACATCACATATGAGTTAACGACTTTTGAACAGAGAAGAAACACCAACATTTTGTCAGTTCTAAAGAAAAGTAACTGAATAGAAATGAAATAAATAAATACAATTTAAAATCTGTAAAACGTTGCTGCGTAAAACTGTATAATGTGACAAATGTCATCACAAACAGAACACGCTTTATAAGAGCTTCTTCCCTGCCACAGTAAGACTCCTTGGCCAAAAACAAAATGAACTACTGTCTCCGGGCCTGTGCAAATATACCGTGCAATCCACTTACAATGCAACTTTGCACCTATAATATATATATTATATTATGTTGTTTCCGGGGCCTATGCACTATGCAATATGCAATATACATGTGCAATTCACAATGCAAATTTACACTTTTAATGGGTTTTCGTGCAATTTAAAATGTATATGTTTTATAGATTAGATGTATGTCTTCCTGTGGTGTCTTTTTTATACTTGACTTGACTCTCTGAGCAACAACCGCACATGAGTTCCTATGTGTGCAAGCACAAATGGCAAATAAAGTTCTTGAATCTTTAATCTTGAAATGTCTCAGTTTTAGGTATTTTTCAGGTATAAATCTTAGTTTTCAGGTATATTAAAGGATATCCAAGAGGCCTCAAGCCAAATTAGAAACCCAGCACTTAATTAAAAAAGATATTAATTCACTACTACTACTCATGTACATTGAAACCATTTCAGTTTTGTAAGGCTTATAATTTGTTACAGAGCGTGTTTGTGTCTGTGGGGTGGATTCAGGGTGTGTCAATTTCTTTAAGAGGGCGAGTGGTTTTTCTCTCATCTTATGTTGCTGTGTGGGCTTTCTTGTACTTATACTTGTATCATACATGTTCCATATATATAATGTGTCCCCCATTGTCCCACACAAACATAATCTTTGTCCCACATTTGGTTTGTTGGGTTCTAGTCACCCTATACTGTAAATATATACTGTAAACAAAATTGCCTTATAAAATAAGAAAACTACTTCTAAAAAAAGGTGGTTTCATTCTCCCTACTAGTCCCCAAATGCCTACAGTTCCAAAAGTAACCTGCTACATTATTAAAATAAATCTTAAATATGAGGATCTCTAAGAGAAAACCTTTAAAAGGACTCCACTGTGTGTCTGTTTGGAGGTTGGTGTTGGTGCAAAATCATGTGAAAACCCCTGCTCATAGTTAGATTACTGTACAACTCTATTAATGCACCTGTGTGTCATCCTCCCTCACAGTTGCCCCTTTGCCTGACCAAACTCACCGACCCATAATCACTCTGCCGCCCCTGCCCGATGGAGACAACTACTCACCTTTTCAACCCACCGAGGGCCTGCTGGTGCCAGTGATCGCCATGGTAACTGCTTTGAGTCTGGCAGCGAGCGTAGGCCTCACAGTTGTCCTGGGGTGAGAGACAGTAAGTGGGTGGAGGGCACGAAAAGGTTTAGCAGGAAGGGTGGAGGTGAAAGAGATGACACGGAACAGTCAGAGCAAGTGACTAACTAAATGATACAATGATACAAGACGGTGTATGATTTAATCATGTTTTACTAGGCTTAGATTTATGTCATATAAAGATACAATAGATTTATAAATAGGTTCATTATTTACAATCGAACCAATGACACCATTAAGTTGTTTTTCTCTGAAAGTATCGTCAGTTCTTCCAAGAAGTCATGTTACAAAAGAGCAAAAATCAAGAAGTGTTGACTTAGATTTTAACACACATAAAGGTCACACAATAGGCAGGTTTTTCTGTTATTTATAGCTCAATGTTTATGTTCATTAGGGATTACTGTGTTTGTGATCTTTATAGACTGATGATAATTCAGAGGAGAGCCGCGAAGAAGCCGAGAAGAAGGAAAGAGGAAAAAACCACACAAAACATGGTGTGATGAAGATACTGTGTACAGTAAATAGACACAGGGAAGTTTTACATTGCTCTCAGTAGCTGAATAAATTTTCCCAGCACAAAGTGCCAAGTCATGCCTAGGAATAAAGTGGAGGTGAGAAAATGTATGAATGTATTGAAAAAAAAAGTGACGATGTAAATCTTGGTGAATCAAATATTGAGCTCTCTTTCATAAAACAGAAAGTTTGTGGTGTAATAAAACCAGAGCGTACAACACACACACAAACACACACAAAAAAATCCCCCAGAAACCACTCAACTTTCCGTAACATTTAGCAGCGGCGAGCCAGAACACATCAATGATCTGACCCCAGCAGGGACACGTTTCCCCTGAATGGAGTAATGGCGTTGTCACGTGGGCGTTTATGAGAGGAATCAGGGATGAGGTAAATCTCCCGGATTACAGTGTTTTTCAGAGATTAATAGCCCCAGCCATCCAATTAATCCTGGATAATCCCCTGTGGCAGGAGGGGGAGAGACGTGGAGGGGTAAAAGCTAGCAGCAGATGTTTTCATCAGGGTTTCTTTTAGGGTTTATTTACTCATATATTCATTCAGAGCGTCTGAGTAAGAGCAAACTTTTGCATTACTCTTATGTTCTTATAATTTTGAAGTCATTGTTTTCTTACAACACAATCACCAGACATTGTAATTATTTGTTCTTCTTGTCTGCCTACAGTCTAGGCATTTTGATGACAAGCTGCTTCTGTTCACATAAGTTCTATCATGATCTCCACCACCTCCTCACCTTCAGCTGGTATGCCATATTTCCGATCACTGCTTCCTTAGATCTACAACAAATTCGCACCAACCTCTCAGCAATGTGTCACCCCAGATGTTTTCTTGGCGGTCTGATTTGTTAACACAGGAAAGATAATAAAACATTTGAACCCAATGAAAATGAAAGCAAGCGATAGAAGTTTATGTATGAGGCAACGCGTCCAGGAGTTAGGTAACAAAGTTATCTCTGAAATCATTTAATCACTGCTCAGGTTTTATAGGGATTTTTCAGAATCAACTTCTTGAATCACGCATCAGTTTAGGCTATGAGCTATGACATAGGTTGTAATGATGCAATATGAGGGTGTGTGTGTGTGTGTTTGGATACTGAGGCCTGCATGGATGGTGACAGGATGTGTACGTGCAGGGCTGTTTCCTGACGGGCCGCTGAGATGGGGGCGAATGTTGAAAAAAGAAAACCCTCTTTTAAGACACCCACCATACAGAGACACACACGTCACAGTCATCCACCTCAACAGACTCACTTCACTGTGGTTTTATATGTGTGTGTTCAAGCCTAAAGTGCATGTTGAGGCTACAGTAAATGCATGCTCAGCGGCTCTACTGACAGCCATGATGAACTGTGTACCAAAGTGTGTGTGTTTGGACTGCTGTGGATTGAAATTGCTGCCTCAGCAGGGAGAGAGCATGACAAAGTAGGAGTGCTGCTGAGGGACCAGCAGGCATGGGTGAGGGAGGGGGAGAAGGGAAGTGGGAACATGAAGAAAGTGGAGTTAGAGGTTTGTGTGGGAGACGTGTGTAGGAAGGTGATTTAAATGTGGGTTATGAGGAAATGAAGACAAAGACGTCAGATTACATTTTATAGTATAAACTATCCCACACTGCACATAAAGTATACTTTTCTGTGTGTAACAATGCATTGACTGTCCTCTATCCAGGGGCGGAAAGAGGTCTACAATATCCTACTGAGTTAGAATTACTGGTGTTTGACTTTAACTAGAATTGAGAGGACTTGAAAACTTCTCACATAAAAACAAAAAAAGACTACTCTTGAGATGTACTTAAAGCCCCTTAAACCAGGTATTTCTCTACATTTAAATATTCACAACTCAATAAGCAACAACAAAGTTTAACACTCAAAAACTAATCTGCCTTATCAGGAATGTGTGGGTATGGTTGGATCACACTGACTGACTCAATGTCATCAACTCATTTTGATTCAAATATTGCTAAATCCTGACTGGAACACAGAAACCCCAGCTGAGTCCCGTCTGTAGAACCAGTAAGAAGATGACAGACAAATACACAAATATAAAAATTACTCATGTAAAATAACGTAAACTTTAGTCACATAGTTTGCGGATTTAATCATGTTTTATGAGGCTTAGGTTTATTAATTTATAAATAGGTTATTTACAATCGAAACAATGACACTATTAAGTTGTATTTCTCTGAAAGTATCGTCAGTTCTTCCAGGAAGTCATGTTAGTTACTAAAGAGCAAAAATCAAGTGCTGACTTAGATTTTAACACACATAAAGGTCACACAATAGGCAGGTTTTTCTGTTATTTATAGCTCAATGTTTATGTTGATTAGGGATTACTGTGTTTGTGATCTTCATAGACTTATGATAATTCAGAGGAGAGCCGCGAAGAAGGAAGGAGTGATGAAGATACTGTGTACAGTAAATAGACATAGGGAGGTTTTACATTGCTCTCAGTAGCTGAATAACTTTTCCCAGCACAAAGTGCAAAGACATCACGTTTTCCCAACTGAGTGCCGCCTTTAGAACCAGTAAGAAGATGACACAAACACAGAAATTACTCATGTAAAATAACGTAAACTGTTCTAACTTACTGTACCCCGATACTCAGAGCAAGAAACTGAGAAAAT